TTCGGTGTGCAAAGATGTGCTTAGGTGTGCTTCGGTGTGCGAAGATGTGCTTAGATGTGCTTAGGTGTGCTTCGGTGTGCAAAGATGTGCTTAGGTGTGCTTCGGTGTGCGAAGATGTGCTTAGATGTGCTTAGGTGTGCTTCGGTGTGCAAGGATGTGCTTAGATGTGCTTAGGTGTGCGAAGATGTGCTTAGATGTGCTTAGGTGTGCAAAGATGTGCTTAGATTTGCTTGTGTGTGCAAAGATGTGCTTAGATGTGCTTAGGTGTGCAAACATGTGCTTAGATTTGCTTGTGTGTGTGCAAAGATGTGCTTAGATGTGCTTAGGTGTGCAAACATGTGCTTAGATGTGCAAAGATGTGCTTAGATGTGCTTCCGTGTGCAAAGATGTGCTTAGATGTGCTTTGGTGTGCAAAGATGTGCTTAGGTGTGCTTCGGTGTGCAGAGATGTGCTTAGGTGTGCTTCGGTGTGCAAAGATGTGCTTAGGTGTGCTTCGGTGTGCGAAGATGTGCTTAGATGTGCTTAGGTGTGCTTCGGTGTGCAAAGATGTGCTTAGGTGTGCTTCGGTGTGCGAAGATGTGCTTAGATGTGCTTAGGTGTGCTTCGGTGTGCAAAGATGTGCTTAGGTGTGCTTCGGTGTGCGAAGATGTGCTTAGATGTGCTTAGGTGTGCTTCGGTGTGCAAGGATGTGCTTAGATGTGCTTAGGTGTGCGAAGATGTGCTTAGATGTGCTTAGGTGTGCAAAGATGTGCTTAGATTTGCTTGTGTGTGCAAAGATGTGCTTAGATGTGCTTAGGTGTGCAAACATGTGCTTAGATTTGCTTGTGTGTGTGCAAAGATGTGCTTAGATGTGCTTAGGTGTGCAAACATGTGCTTAGATGTGCAAAGATGTGCTTAGATGTGCTTCCGTGTGCAAAGATGTGCTTAGATGTGCTTTGGTGTGCAAAGATGTGCTTAGATGTGCTAAGATGTGCTTAGATGTGCAAAGATTTGCTTAGATGTGCTTCGGTGTGCAGAGATGTGCTTAGGTGTGCAAAGATGTGCTTAGATGTGCTTTGGTGTGCTTAGACCGGTGTGCTTAGATGTGCTTAGATGTGCTTAGTTGTGCAAAGATGTGCATAGCATAGGTGTGCTTTGGTGGGCAAACATGTGCTTAGATTTGCATAGGTGTGCAAAGATGTGCTTAGATGTGCTTAGGTGTGCAAAGATGTGCTTAGATGTGCTTAGGTGTGCAAACATGTGCTTAGATTTGCATAGGTGTGCAAAGATGTGCTTAGATGTGCTTCGGTGTGCAAAGATGTGCTTAAATGTGCTTTTGTGTGCAAAGATGTGCTTAGATGTGCTTTGGTGTGCCTAGATAGGTGTGCTTAGATGTGCTTAGGTGTGCGTGGATGTGCTTATGTGTGCAAAGATGTGCTTAGATGTGCAAAGATGTGCTTAGATGTGCTTAGGTGTGCAAGATGTGCTTAGAGGTGCTTACGTGTGCAAAGATGTGTTTAGATGTGCTTATGTGTGCTTAGATGTGCTTAGGTGTGCAAACATGTGCTTAGATGTGCTTAGGTGTGCAAAGATGTGCTTAGATTTGCTTGTGTGTGCAAAGATGTGCTTAGATGTGCTTAAATGTGCCCAGGTGTGCAAAGATGTGCTTAGATGTGCAAAGATGTGCTTAGATGTGCTTAGGTGTGCAAAGGTGTGTTTAGATGTGTTTAGGTGTGCAAAGATGTGCATGGATGTGCTTAGGTGTGCAAAGATGTGCTTAGGTGTGCAAAGATGTGCTTAGATGTGCAAAGATGTGCTTAGATGTGCTTAGGTGTGCAAAGATGTGCTTAGATGTGCTTAGGTGTGCAAAGATGTACTTAGAGGTGCTAAGATGTGCTTAGATGTGCAAAGGTGTGTTTAGATGTGTTTAGGTGTGCAAAGATGTGCATGGATGTGCTTAGGTGTGCAAAGATGTGCTTAGGTGTGCAAAGATGTGCTTAGATGTGCAAAGATGTGCTTAAGTGTGCAAAGATGTGCTTAGATGTGCTTGATTGTCCAAAGATGTGCTTAGAGGCGCTGCGATGTGCTTAGATGTGCAAAGATGTGCTTAGATGTGCTTAGGTGTGCAAAGATGCACTTAGAGGTGCTAAGATGTGCTTAGATGTGCTTAGGTGTGCAAAGATGTGCTTAGAGGTGCTAAGATGTGCTTAGATGTGCAAAAATGTGCTTAGATGTGCTTAGGTGTGCAAAGATGTGCTTAGATGTGCTTAGGTGTTCAAAGATGTGCTTAGGTGTGTTTAGATGTGTTTAGGTGTGCAAAGATGTGCATAGATGTGCTTAGGTGTGCAAAGATGTGCTTAGGTGTGCAAAGATGTGCTTAGATGTGCAAAGATGTGCTTAGATGTGCTTAGGTGTGCAAAGATGTGCTTAGATGTGCTTGATTGTCCAAAGATGTGCTTAGAGGCGCTGCGATGTGCTTAGATGTGCAAAGATGTGCTTAGATGTGCTTAGGTGTGCAAAGATGTGCTTAGATGTGCTTAGGTGTGCAAAGATGTACTTAGAGGTGCTAAGATGTGCTTAGATGTGCTTAGATGTGCTTAGGTGTGCAAAGATGTGCTTAGATGTGCAAAGATGTGCTTAGATGTGCTTAGGTGTGCAAAGATGTCCTTAGATGTGCAAAGATTTGCTTAGATGTGCAAAGATGTGCTGATGAGAATGCCTTGTGCCTTGTGTCATGGGGCGTTTTTGTTCAGGAAAGGGTGCCCTTGCTGCTGGCGGTCGAGAAGATGAAGGTGCGAGGGCCGGGTTTTGTCCGGAGAACCCCTTGCCCATTTTGGTCCGTATTCATCTACCATATTCGACCATCCATGTTAACCATGGCATGGAAACTGAGTGGGGTGGAGGTGCAACGTAAATTAAGCATGCTGGAAAAAAGTACTCACGTAGAGACGCTGGATGTCGGGATTTGATGGGGTTTGTGTTGGGATCACTTGAAAATCACATATGATGTACTAGGCAGCTGGCGCCGCCCACCAGTAAACCGCGAGAACACAGAATCCTGGCGGAAGGCGGGGCCCCCAGAACTAAACTGCCAAAAAATAACGGAAATCATGAAATTTGCTCAGCTAGTCCAATGCAAGTGAACTCATTGATTCCAGTTTCAAAATGATGCATGATTCACGTTGAAAACCAAATCATTCGGTAACAAAACGGACGAATACTTTATCAACTTCGCAATGGATGGGTGTGACTTCTTTCACATCCCAAGGAGGAACCCATCCGCAGAACTACTACGCGTGAGGCAATGATTGAATCAAATCTTTGATTCATATTTATGGTACCTGGAAACCAGAGACATCAGAAAGTACCTTGGGTAATCAGGTACCCCGCCTTGAAACATCCATAGGGGTAAAACGGGTAGATAATTGCCGTGTGATTTTTTCCATTGTAAACCATACAAATTTTAGGGCATGAATATGAACTGAAAAACAGAGCGGAGGTTGTTCATTGGAACAGAACTGAAAGTCATTTGTTTGTCGTAACAAGTAGTGACGCAAGTGTAAAACGAGTTGTACCGCGAGTTGCAACACACGTTGTAACAAGTTGTGGATGTTCAGCACAGTTTTACATCAAGTCTTGAAAGTGCAATGGATGAGGATGATGACGGCCCTCATCGTCCACCACAGGCACACGCAACACCAAGAAATACCAAGAAGGGTCCAAAAGATTAGTTTTCGGCTGCGTAAGTGAGCAAATTTGGTGTGACCAGGAAGAACCTATGCGACGTATGGGGTCAACGCAGCAGGAGGAATGGGGATTGTGTTGTGAAGGTCGAGGGGGCTTTTGGAGAGAAGAATTCAAAAATTCGCGACTTTGAAAACAGTGATGCAACGAGATACCTTGCGACTTTGAGAACACTTTCTGCGGTTTCCTTCACCTTGCATCGAGCGACTGACATCAGATTAAGCAACCTTGCTTATAATGGAAGGTATGTTAACGGTATGTTCGTTGTGGGTAAGTAGACCTTGCCTGTGAGTCATCAGTTGACGCTGGTTGTCTACATTCAGAAATTGTATCCCAACGACGTGTAGAGTCTAGAGATCCTTTGAATGAAGAACATGGGATCTGGTACTTGGCATAGGGCTGAAACAAAATGGCAGAAACCAAAGACGACAAACGCGTAGCAGGACAACTGTTTCTTTATTTCACTAAGTTTGAGTTCGAACTCATTTTAGATTATTCACATTTCTGCAAACATCACAAAGAGTGCATCAATACATCTTACGTCCTTCCACTTCTGAATTCATGGTCACAATTTTGGACATTGTATCCTTCGTGTTTGTGTTCTCCTTTGTAAGGGGGTGGCACTTTTGGGATGTTTGATTCTCAAAGTGATTTGAAGATTGGAAGCGATTGGAAGCGATTGGAAGCGATTGGAAGCGATTGGAGGTTCTCCGAATTTTCTGTTTGCAAGTCGCTGGATCCAGGAAGCGCCACGTGAGACAGCACCTCGAGAGGCAAATTGGGGAGCCAGATTCGAGATTCGATAAACATGATTGATAGCGTTCAAGCGTTTCTTTTTTTGGGGGGCACGATATGCACATGATATTCAAACATATTCAAACTATGTCAAACTGGGTTTCAATGTCGCGACTCATTTTTGATTGAGGAGCAACATGGAGCGACCATGTTCGACTAATCATTCCAAATTCCATTTATTCTTTACAGAACCTGAACTGTTCCGGCATCTTCCGACATCACATTTCTTTCCAACATCCCCTTCGAAGCTTTCGAGAAAACCAATCAGGGAATGGCCACCGCCATTGTGTCAACGTGTACCTCTTTCGATCTGCAATATGTGTCAAATCAGCATATCATAATAATTGCACATGTGTGTTTGAGAAGCATGTGAGCCATGTGAGCATTGTTGTATGACATATCTTGAAACGCTCTCCAAGTCATGAGCGCCAAAAGCGAGCATCTTTGCTTCTGGCTTTCCGGCATTCCCTTCGCTGCTATGGCTCTAGCCAGCAGTGCCACCGGGCCGCTTAGTTCCGCTTGCTGCTCAGCATCGCTTAGCAAGCCTCCACCGGTTGTCCCCGTCACATCCTGTGGCATCCAGCTCTCAAACTCAAGGTGCTCAAGGTCCCAGATGCAGAAAATTGCAGAGATGCGTGCGTGACTCATGTCTCCGATTGTCTCCGGTAATTCTCGCGTATCACCTGTCACATTGCTCCCGTGTAGTCAGGTACATCTAGGACAGTATCTTGATATCTTTCTACACATCCTCAACTTAACTCTTTTTGAAGGTTTCTATAGGAATTTGCGGGTGAACATGGCACGATTCACATGCGCTGCTTTCTGAAATCTGTCGAAGCCAATGGCAAGTGCCATGCATTGCCACGGATAAAACGTATCAAAACATATCAAAACTAAAATTCATGAAGCATTTCCATGCATTTCCTATATGAAAACGTATATTTATGTATAATATAAATATATATAGTTATGTATATTTTCTCGGGGGCTTTGGGTGTGCAGGGGCGCCACGCATGGCCATCGTGGTGCAGCTGCCAGAAGGCGAAGTCCGCTTCGTGGCGGTAGACCCGGAGCTGCTCGTACGGCTTAGCATCGCACAGCTGTCGCAGCTGTCGCAGCTCCAGTTGCGTCGTAATGCGACAGCTGCAATGACACATAGCAACACATAGCAACACATAGCAACACATAGCAACACATAGCAACACATAGCAACACATAGCAACACATAGCAACACATAGCAACACACTCAAGTCTCGTACAAAAAGGCGTTTTTTGCCAATGTTTTTTTAGGCGCAGAAAGCTGCAACTATGTAGATTTCGCCATGTCCTATTGATTCCTATTGATTCCTATGGTCCTATTGGCTTCGAAAAAGCACGACATGTTTTGAGGACTGCTCGCTATGTGTCTCCCTCCAAGGTTTTTTGCATGTCCTCTTGGGGAAGTTGCTGGTCGAGTCAGACACACCCTCCATGCCAGTGCCATCAGGTGCGAGAAAGGCTGCAATATCTGCAATGCTGCCAGGTGTTTGGATTTTGTGTTTGCTGAGTTGATTTTGGGTGACATTTTGGATTTTGCTCAGGTGCTCTTCTGATCCAGCAGCTTTTCTGCAGCGAGTGAGCATCCGTAATCCGGGTAGACTTACGCTACGACATCGTTGCTATCGCTCGAAATTTTCAGACCCATGTGACCTCCTGTTGTCCAAGCAGCACAAACACTCTGCAGGACTCTAAAGAATGCTGTACAATCCAAGGGGCTGAAATCTTCTAAACACATTTATCACCATTCAAAATTGACATGGCTGGATTCGGGGAAATTACGTGAGCTGCGACAGCAAGTTCCCCTGGAGAGATGAGCCGCTTACACCTAGTTGGAACTGGAGCGAAACCCTTTTCTTTAAAATACACAACAGCTCCAAAAAAATGGTGTGCTCACCGATGATAACTCTGAATTCCCTGCAAACAGGGGGTGGCCGCAACAGCTGTCCTCTACATGAAAGAATGTGTTGAAACTTGAAACATGTTTAAAGGCCATGATTCTCCTACTCGTTCAACGCTGATGCTTTTCAGGCAAGTTCTTTATGTCTTTTCTTGGACTTTGCAGTTTGCGTGGGCGCCGCCATTTCTGGTGTTCGCTGCTTTATTTCTTGAAGTACTTTTTGCCCCTACTTTCATGGTAAAAGGGAAGTTGGGTTTGGTCTGATGGAACACACGGGCAAACGCTTCAAATTGAAAGAACGTAACGTTCAAAACAATGAGTGAGCAGAAATGGTGTTATGCATTTGCGTGTGCCATGTCTTGTGTTTTCCCCCTCTCATCACGCTATCAATGTAGAACGGTACATGGGCCAGGTGCCGCAAACAGCATTACAGCTGCAAAACACCAGGTTGAACCACTAACCGAGCAAAAGGAAGCGAATCCATGTGAACAACTAGCAGAATTGCAAAGATCTGGGGGAAAAACAAGTTCCTAGGGTTGAGAATCATTTTGGAACAAGAGGATGCCCTAGTAGCTCTCAGAAACCTGGGCACCCCGTGAACCCTGTATACAAGCGCGGACTGTATTCAATAGCAGGAGCGGCATCTGGCACTTCTTGGCAGAAGCCAATTTTGCATTTGGGTGATTGTTTGACGATCCTTGTGAGTTTCAAAGCTCCTGCTCCAAATAAGCATTGTGTGAGCGCGAGCCGCAGCCATGGAGATCGTTGTTGGAAGATGTTTCAAGATGTCTTTTTTAGGCCGTCTCATTTGATTTTGCCAGTGGATACCAAGGTTGAGAAACATGAAACGGAGATGGAGATGATGGAGGAGCTCTCTTCTGCTTTTCAGGATTTTCACCTCACTGAGGAGGACGATGTCGAAGATGTCGAAGATGTCGATTCCGTCGATTACCGGGTACTTTTTCAAGGCCGAGATCTCGAGCTGGAGCCACTTTGGCGTAGTCGGGGTCGAGTCGGCTCGAGTCGGCTCGAGTCGGGTCGAGTCGGGTCGACCGAACATCAGGATCCAAGATGATCCCAGTTGTTTAAAGATATTTGGAATTGATAAATGAATTCCAAGAATTGATTATTTGGATTTGTTTGGAGCATTTCGGTGTCAATTCCGCATGTTGCATGCCACAACCAGTTCTGCAAGAAGACTTTACTAGAGGACTTAAAACTGGATACGAAACCGATCAGAGAGTTCAGACATGCACAACATGCACTAGTGTCACCCACAAAGGCTGACTGTTCAGACCACTACCATGGATGATCAGACGTCAGGTCCCGATGATATCTGATGATCCTTACAGATATGCGGTGCCACATTGTGTTACAGATTTCGCATATTTTCGCATGGTGTGATCCGTGTGGTGAGACCGAGGAAGGCTTCCAGGGCATTTCTTTCTACGATGGAAGCGGGCAAACTTTGCACTGTACGTGTGGTTTTCCGACTGCTGGGCGGTTGCTTGGCGGATCTATGGCCTGCATATGGCCTGCTATGCAACAAGTTGAATCTGCAGTGAAGATAAATCGAATCCACATGTGATAAATAATTGATAAATTGTAATACAAGTTTGATACGATATAATTACAATTGAACACCACATGTTACACATTGCATCAACTTGCGGCCCATTTGTAGGCAAACAACTGCACACCACAAAGGATGTGCATCCTCAAGCACACAGAGACAGATTTGCGTAAATTTCTGTGAAAACTCTGACGCCTCGATCACAAGTTTTTGCCATCCCTTTGCTCGAGTTGCTTCTGCGTTGCTTTGTGCGTTGCAAGTGCGAGATCAAACGAGGCAAAGGAGGTTTTGGTTCATTGCTTCGATCTCAAAAAGGAGGCCCTGCACTGTGCAAAGTAGTGACAAGCAGTGGTTCACAAACGAAACGTTGTGACGTTGTAACGTTGTCCAGCAAGTGAGACATTCCTGCGGAAGTCTTGCAACATGAGAAGAAAAGCTCAAAGTTGCAGTCTCAACATGTCAGTGTTTTACAGATTGGCAACGAAGTATTGGCATTCAGCTATCAATCTTTTTTACAAATTACAAATTGTTTTCAGATTTCGAAAGGAAAAATTTAAGAATCAATGTTATCAATGAGTTTCGGAATTAGAAATTGAAAAATGAACAATGAAATTGAAAAGTTTCTTCAAATTTTCTTTTTTTTCTTTACAAAGATGAATTTCGTTTTTCGTTTTTCGGTGCCAGGCAAAAAGACGACGAACTTCGACGCCATGCGGGACCTCAACGGCCGTCGCGTCCGCCACGTTAAAGCAGCGCCTTGGCGCCGAGAGCTGCTCAGCTGTGCTGTCTGTTTTAATGTTTATAAATTACAGACAATGTTATTATTTTAAATGTTATAAATAATAAACAGTAAATGTTTGAATTTATGTTATTATATTTATTATATTTAAAATTTAAAATAAATTATATGTTATTTATAACAACTCTCTGTAAATATTTAAAATAAATGTTATATGTTTTAAACAATAAATTTTAAATATTATGTTTTAAATGTTATTATTTTTTATTATTAAAAAATGTTTATTTTAAAGTTTAAATTATTTTAAAATTTAAATTTGCTATAATAATAGCAAAGTTATAAATATTTTTATAAAAAATGCTGAAGCAGCTTTTTACATAACTCTTGATATGTTTTGAACATTACATTACTATCTAAGGTTTCGGCTTGGGGGTTACATCAGCTGTAACAAGGGTTTCCCCCACGTTTCCTGTAACCTTAGCGGGCTGCCATCCCGCGGGCGACTCGGTGCTGTTTGCATCAGTTCTCGCCCTCGCTGCTGGCTGTGGATCTCTTTCTCGATTTTGTTCCTCTTGGACATTGAAGACATTTTAAGCGTATTGGTGTATGTCTTTGAGAGGGGCGTGGGTCTACGTGCTCGCCGGCCTCTTCATCCTTGCATTTGTCTATTTGCGGGACATTGACCACGACCTCTGCAACCTTGCGCCGAGCACAGCGAAGACTGCGCGCCAAGGCTCGAAGGCTCTGGTTTCTCCACCGCAAACGCATCTGCCTTCTTGGACCCCTACAACTACAGAGGGTGCACCAAATTTTGAGACAGCATCATTCACGAGATCAGAAGTTTCTCAGCCAGATCGTCTCAGCGATGTCGACTACGGCTCCGTGGCGTTGCCTCAACTGTCGTCAGCTTCGGAAACACAACGTGACCTTTTGCTGCAATCAGCCGTGGCAAACCGTCATGGATCACACGTACATCCATCAGCCTCGGCAGGGACAGGAAGAGAAGTATGCCCAGAGTTGGGAACAACAAGACCAACCATGGGGGCAGTCTTGGAGAAGCAACTCCCCACGACAAAGGATTCAATCACCTCGTCAGCGACAGAACAAGTCCAAGGGTGGCAACACTCCGAGGGGCAAATCTGGAGGACGTGGCAAAGGTCATGGACATGGACATGGACCTCCGGTACAGAAGGGCAAGGGAAAAGCAGATGTTCCAGCTCCGCTGCCCCCGCCCCCCATGCCATGGCCTGGGTACGCTCCCATGGGCCAGATGATGAATCCTGCTATGATGATGCCTATGCCATCGATGCCAGCAATGGTCATGCCAAATCCCAATGCTGCTGCGCCACCTATGCCTCCGCCAGCAACACCTCCTGGACCAAGCACAGCAGGAGCGCGAGAGGAAGATGCAAGAATTGATGACCTACCTGAAGAAGCGTGGGCCCGATCTTCCCAAGGACGTCAGTCAGAAGGTCCGAGAAATTGCAAAGAAGGATGGAGCACAGGCAAATCAAGATTTAGAGTCAGCTGCAAAGGCACTTGGACATGCCAAAGACGAGCTCGAAGCAGCCTTGCAAGCAAGAACGAATTTGGTGGCATCATGGAAAACATTTTTAACAGATGCCGTCAGCACATGGAAAGAGTACGCCAGCTTGTTTCAGACTCAGGAAGCCGAACATCAGGAAAGAATCAAAGCAGCTCAGGAAGCATTTGCTCTTGCGAAGACAGAGGTCGACGAAACCAAAGCAGTTGTGGGAACGGTGATCGAAATCAAGGACGAAGAGGACGAGCCCAACTGTCCATCAAATCATGTCACATCGGAAAAGATCACCGAGAGCATGCAGTTCCTCACAGCTTCTCTTCAGCAGTTTCAGGAGAAAGCCGAGGAGATTCATGTGGAGGCGCAAGCCTCTCTCAAACGACCTCGTCTCGCACCACCAGAGCGAATGGATGCCACAATGGGCGCCACCGATGCTCGCGATGGCAATGGAGCTCCCTCAAAAGCATCGCAGTCTTTTGGGGCGGCCGGTCAACCATGACTGATATGTATGGTGGCCAATGGCCGGTGGTTGTTGACAGTGCTGTTGGCACTGTCCCTTCAATTCTCAAATGGACCCATAGCATCATCCATGAGTACAATTTCAAGTCTGAATGGCAAGCCAGGGAGACCGCTAGAGGGCTAGCGTTCGAAATGGCACCAAAGGGGCAGTTGAAGATGCTGTCGAAGTTCCCGTCTCCTTCTACATCATACGTGAGGAGAGGCAGCGTCAAAAAGGTCTCCTTCGCATTTGGCGATTCAGATTTGCATTGTTCACAACCGAATCAGCATTTTTCTGCAGTGACCGTTCCCGGCATTTTGAAGTATAAGCCAAATCCTGCAGATGTTGCTCAGCTTCCAGATCCTGATGGACCTCATGCTGGTACACCTCAACAAGCGCATCAACAAGCGGCTGGCAGCAGAAATCTCCTTGACAGGCCTTACTGGCAACAGCAAGTTTGGCAAAGATTGCAAGAAGAGGGCACAGCAGAAGACGCGGATGGAGAGCCAGTCTTCTTCATGAACTCTTACTACATATGCCACCTCACCAATCGCAGGCAAGAAAGAGGAAGGCCGCTCAGGTTCGATTCAGACATCAATCAATGGGAAGCAGACATGCGTTTTATCTGGGAAGACCTGGTCAATCCTGCGCTGCCTCTCTATGTGCATTTTGTCTTGCCAGAGCCACCATTCACTCTTATGCCAGGAACCAGGAACCCTGCTTTTGGTGCAAAATCCCACGCTGTTTCGAGCAGCATGTTTGACTACTGTCATTGAGCCTGCTTTGCCTCGATTGAGAATCATTGAGATTGCCCACTCCTTTGACTTGATTTTACCATTTCGTCATATTCTTCATCACGCTGGAGTTGCTGATGTTTGTGACGCACGACGTTCCCAAGACATTGGACAATGTGACATCCTTGTTGGCAATCGTGTACTTCCGCATGGTGACCCAGTCTGAGTACATGAGGGCTTGGGATTTGTGATCCAAGTCCCACCACCTCAACCACCATTGGAATGGGAAAGTGTTGCACGTGCACACTACGACACTCCAACTCTACAACAATGGCCTGTGGATGATGACACGACTTCATTTCTTGCTCACCAAACACAGCCCCAGCAACCAAAAGTAGCGATCATTGATGATCCACGTGCTGCCAGAGATCCTCATGATCCAGAGATCCTTGCAGACACCGATACTGAGAGTAACCACACCAGCTTGGACGAGGAGACCTGCACTGGTGTCTGGCGTGACACCACTGTCTTCACGATCAATGGAATGACAAGCCAAATTGTTCTACCGTGGCATCGCTTTCAGGATTTTCCATCGCTGTTGCGACCATTATTTGGAATCTCTGAACATGAAGAAGTTTTTGCATATTCCGTTGACCATCCTCCAGCTGATCTTGATGCACAAGACCACGAATGTCTCATCATGAGGACAAATTTGCAGCCACCGAGTTCCCACATCTTGAGACTCATTTTGGTTGACATTGAGGTATATCCTGGTGGAGAAGTCCAACCCACGACGTATGCCAGACGAACTACCTGGATGCCTCACACCGCCAATCGTTTGTCCATCCTTCGATTGTTGGGACTCGAAGAACATTATCAAGAAGATCAAACACGATGCCATCTCTGGGTTAATCGCATTTGGGTTGATCCAGAACATGACGTACCAGTTCATTTCGACAATGGCGACTCCATCATTGCCATCATTGCTGATGAACAACTCATCAATGAACTCACTTCAGAAGATACAGATGATCAAGACTCGATGTCGCTTTTTCAACAAAGGAAACACAACCCCGTTGTTTGTCAAAGCGAACACAATATTTCAGACTTTGCTACGGTTCAATCCAACAATTCTGCTCCACGACGGCCACCTCAGATGCCTACGAGGCGTTTTGCCAATGGTGACTGGAACAGAGAACTTCACAACCGCTTTTTGCGCCAAGCCGTTGTGGAAATGGAAGAAGAAGGACCTGCAGCCTATGTAGTCACCTGGCTCTTGCAGGAACACAGGCAACCATCATGCTGGACTCCCAGAGTTGTGAAACTCACAGAGGACTACACGGCATGGAGTGATCTCATTGTGGAAGCTTGGCAAGATCTTTTTGCGCATGATCAACCATGCAAAGCTCACTGGGTTCACCCAACTCCTGCACAGAGCTCATTTTCCACTACTATTGGCCACATCATCCTTGAGCAGACGGTTGATGATCAATTGGCCTCTATTGTGATTACGACACAGATTTCGCCGACAAGGACAATTCATTGCCCAAGCTGCCCATTTAGTTCCGTGTTTGCTTCATCGAAACACCATCTTGGACAAGGTCATCCTTTACCCCGATGAGGAACAGCTTCGTCCATTTTGTCGCGTGCGATGGGGCGATTTCACGTTTGGCGTCATTGGAGCTCCTTTTGAACCAGACATTGTTCACAGTGGTGTTGGTCTAGACGTTTTATTGCCACATCAGGAGCTCATTCCACCAACTACGGAACCTTTGACGATTTTTGGGGAAGCCATGCACCAGAATGACCATGAAGAAGTTGTTCTCATGCAGACGAACCATCCATCAACCATGGCTTCAGCTGATGGTATGACAACCCCAATTTCGACAGCAGCATGTCCAGGCGACACCAATTTTACCTTTGATCCCGAAGCTCCAGCATTTGTTCCAGGGCAACCGAGTATTGCTACACAATCAGAATTCGTCCAAGAACTACATGACAATTGGCGTGCGACTGCCTTTGCCTGGGAGGACGAGACTTCGTCGTGTACCATTTTGGTCTGGATGGTGGATCATAGCTGGACAGAACCTCACAGTTACATGCCGCGCCCTGTGCGTTTGTACGAAGACTTTACCACATGGGAAGAGCGAATTGTCACAGCCTGGAATGACCTTCTTCAACCAGGTTTGCCTCGTGAATTACACTTGGTACACCCGACCCCGCCCACAGCTGACAATATGATTGCAGCACATGTGATCGTTATCCAACGGCCACGAGATGATTGGGTGACGAGTGTGGTCACTTGCCTTGACAGCACCAATCAACCACAGACCATGCACCAAGCGGCTGTGACCACTCACGAGCACATCTTGCTTGACAACTTGCTGCGCATTTTCCACCTTTACCATGCATGTATTGGTCAGGGCGCCACTCATGCGTGTGCAGCCTGGTATGATCGAGTGCCTCTTGAACGCACCCTTGATGGGTCGCAGTGGCTATGGCATTATCATGTTTCTTAGAGCAGCTGGCGCCATTCCGCCAGCTGACGCTATCAACATGTTGCAGCGTTCAGTGACTGTTTCCAGGACCAGGGAGCGCCTAACAACTGATGTGGTGGCTCATGCACAGTGGCTCCTGGAATCCTCAGTCGCTCGACCAGCTTTGAAGCTGGCTGAAATGCTTGCGCCACCCACTTTACTCCAAGTGGACTTTAGATCAGTTGAAAACATGAGCACCACCATTTTCAACATCGATCTTGGCAGCGTCCAACCGCGTGCCAGTGTCGTGAAATGGCATCCGTCAACGCAAGAGTTGCTGGAGTTCATCCCTGACTGGCAAGGAGAAGCGCCTACTGGCATATCCTTCTTTACAGATGGGTCAGCAGCCAACTTCACCAATCAGCGTCGATCTTCCGCAGCTGTGGTACGCATCATCCACACAGCTTGTGGCGATCGTTTTGGCGGTTTTCGCTGTTATGACACCAGCATCAATGGATTTGCTCCTCACGCTGAAGCAGTAGCCATCCTCACTGCAGTTCTTTGGACTGCTCAGATGTGTGAATTGAACCCGCACCTACAAGGAAGCACATTTTGTTTCCATTTCGATTGCCTATTTGCAGGCATGAATGCCCACGGACAATGGCGCACCAATGCACACGAATCAATTCAACACCTATCTCGTGCCATAGTGCATTGGTTGGAAACACGATATCGGATTCATGCCCAATGGCACCATGTCAAAGCTCATAGTGGACAACCTTGGAACGAAGCTGCAGATGCAGCCGCTTGGGCAGCGGTCTCGCAATGGATCCCACAGATTGATTTCTGTTCCATCCAACATCAGCTTCTGTCAGACGAACCAGGTGTTGCATGGCTTTGGATGTTAGATCTTGCGGAACAGCACCATCCCGCAGTGCCTGCGATCACAGACGGCATTATGACTGTCAATGCGTCCGCAGCACTGTCTATTCCTTCTACAGCTGCCAATCACCCCTTTCTGGCGAGACCAGAAATGCAACCAGATGATCTACAAGAGACCCATTTGACTTTGACGTGTGCTACTGCCAATGTGCTTACTCTCTACCAGAACAAGCAGGAGTATGGCAAGGGCATCACAGCACGGATGGAATCGCTTCTACAAGCATTTGCAGACGAAGGTATCAATGTCATTGGAGTACAGGAAACAAGATCTCAGATTAATGGGCACACCACATGCCATGACTTCCACATTTTGTCAGCACCAGCGACGGCCAAAGGTGTGTGTGGCATTCAACTTTGGGTTCGCAAACGATGGAAACTACCGCAGGGCTTTCTCCACATTGCAACTTCCAACCTGCGCATTGTGGCGACAGATCCACAATACCTTCTTGTTCGTCTTTGTCATGATGGATTGCGCTTGCTCTTCCTGGTCGGTCATGCCCCAAATTGTCCTACCTTCGATGAAGCAACGCAATTTTGGTCGAAGCTGGGCAAAGCGATTCCAAGTTCTATGCGTTCGTGGTCCTTGATTGTTCTGGTCGATGCCAATGCACGAGTTGGATCTCTTCCATCGAACGTTCTTGGCTCGGCTGGAGCTGAAGAATAAAACATTGCTGGTGAATGTTTCCATCAGTGGCTCTTTGACAACAATTTGCTACTACCACAGACTTTTGAACAACATCATCAAGGAGATCACACAACATGGACACATAGTTCTGGCAGCACAGCCCGCCTTGACTATATTGCCATTGACAGCACTCTCCAACATCCAGAAATGCGAACTCGCATCGCCAATGTGGACCTATCCACGCAAAGAGAAGACCATCGTGCTCTGCAACTTGACCTGCCCATCACGTGCCAGATCTCAAAACCACCTTCGGGACCACGACGATTAGCCAGCGGTTCATGCTCATCTTCTCATGCAACCCCCTCTTCTTCGTGGATGCAAGATGTGCATTCACATGCAGCTATGCTTCAGCAATGGATGCAATGTGCACAACCACTCAAGCCATTGCGTGCCAAGCGAAAGATGCATTTGCAAGAAACGACATGGACCTTGATTCAAGCCAAGAGATTTCACTGGAACCGCATGCGATCCCTTCGAGGTACATGGAGGAAAAGCATCTTACGTGAAATTTTTCAAACCTGGCGATGGGGCAAAATTCAAGATGATGTCCGTTGTCTCCAACCGTGGATGCGTGTTCTCCACCAAGCTCTCGCGCTTCATTCGGGACAACATCATCGTCTTTGTCTTCAAGTAGCTGCAGCAGTGCGACATGATGACGTCCAGTTCTATAAGACACTGGCCGCAGAACAAAGCGACGTCGCTGCAGATGAAGGCATCACTGGCCTTTGGCGCAAGATTCGCCATCTCCTGCCAAAAGGCGTGGCCAAGAAGCGCGCCAACATACGATGTCGAGGCCCTCAAGTTGATGACCTCACCCGACACTACTCCAACCTCGAAGCTGGCAAGGAAATCGCGTATCCTGCTCTACTCACACAATGTGCACAACAGCAAAGCGAAGCCCAGGCTGACTTGCCATTGATGATCTCACTTCATGAGATTCCGACACGAGTTGAAGTGGAGCAAGTTTGCAAATTGGCAAAGAAAGGCAAAGCGCCGGGCCTTGATGGAATCCAAGCTGAACAACTTCAACAGATGATGATTTGGCACTCTGACATTTTTTACCATCTCCTTTTCAAGATTTGGTTAGTGTCAGCGGAACCTCTTCAATTCAAGGGAGGATACATGTGCTCTATAGCAAAGAAGCATGGCGCAACCACTGCAGCCGCCATGAGAGGAATCATGCTCTCGGACGTCCTCGCCAAGCTTCACCATGCATTGTTGCGCCGGAAGCTACTTCCTTGGGCTACGTCCAACAAGTTGGTCACCCAGTTTGGAGGCTTCAGAGGACAACAAACTGTTTTTGCCTCCCTTTACCTTCGAAGTTACGTTCGAGTTGTGGAAGCAAAGAAACTGTCGCTGGCGATAGTATTTGTGGACGTCAAGAACGCTTTCCACTGTCTTCTTCGCCAGCATGCTTTTGGAACAATGACGCATCTTCCGGATGTTCTTCGTGCAGTACTTGCAAATGAGGGCCTTGATGTTATGAGCCTGGAAGCCAATATTGCCAAAAATGCTGCAATTTTTGACAGTGCTCCCGCCACCACTGCCAGATTGGTGCGTGATGCTCATTGCAACACATGGTTTACATGCCCGGGTGCTGCTGGATGCTATGAAACCACACGGGGCTCGAGGCCTGGATCCCCTATCGCAGACATCGCGTACAATATCCTTATGACTGCGCTCCTGAAGGACCTGCAAGTTGGTCTTCATCAATTGCCGCTGATCCAACAAGCCAACAGCTTTTTGGACAGCTTGTCACCGACCATTGCATGGGTAGATGACATTGCCTTGCCGCTACCATGCCTCGCGGCGTGTCAACTTGACAATCTCTTGCAGCAAGCCATGACAGTGGTCCATCAGACCTATGCTGGCAAAACGGAAGCCATCTTGCAGTACAGAGGAATTGATGCCCCAGCTTGTCGACGCGAGAGATTCATTGACAGCTTTGGTCAGATTGACATCCCAGGCTATGACCCTTTACACATTGTCACCAAGTACACGCACTTAGGCATTGTGATGGCCCAAAGTTGCGACATTCAGCAGGATCTCAAGCTCAAAATGGGCAAGGCGTCAGCCGCTTTTCGCAGCATGAGCAAAACCATATTTTTGAATCGCAAGCTGGAAATTCGCCTTCGGTTGAAGCTGCTTGAGACTCTTGTCCTGCCAATCCTTTTCTATGGATGTGGAGCATGGCCTCTTTTGTCGACCAGACAGTTTGCATCTGTTTCCTCAGCCATTGTGAAATGGCAACGACAAATTGCAGGAGAAGGATATTGGAACGCAGAACAAGTGACTGATGCTGAATTCCGAGCCAGATGGCGACTCCCACCATTGGCTGTCCGCCTCGCCAAACACCGGCTCTTGTTTCTGTTGCAATTACAACGACATGGACCACAAGTAGTTTGGGAAAGCATCACTGCCGAGGATGAGATATGTCGAACCTCCTGGCTTGATGCAGTGCGACAGGCTCTCCAATGGCTTGGCACCATGATAGCAGATCTCAAGGACAGGGAATGGACTTGTGAAGCAATTTTGACCTGGACAAGTCAGGCAGATGCAACGATGCCCAATCAAATCCGACGTGCGGTGGCCCGCTTTCTGACTCAGGAAGAGACCATCCATCATGTGGCACGCATGCATCGTGATATCCGGGAACTTTGCCAACAACATGGAGTTGTGTTTGATCAGACACCCACTCTACAAGAACCACTCCCTGATTTGTTTCCATGTTCAATGTGCTCCCGTGCTTTCTCCACCATTCAGGGATTGAACGCGCACCAGTGGAAGCAACATGCACATATCTCTGAGGAGAGGCGCTTCGTGTATTCGGGCGTTTGCGAATGTTGTCGAAAGTGCTTTTGGACAGCGCAGAGGCTCCAGCAACATCTCCGCTACTCCAAGCGCAAAGCGAATGGGTGCTTCTGGTGGGTTCAACGACACCTGGACCCCTTGCTTCAGCCGGAACGAGTCGACATTCCGGAACCACTACAAGGCCAACATCGTCTTCCTTGTACAGCAGCGGCTGGCCCTTGCCAGCTTGATGTCACAACGAAGTGGAGTCGTGACCATGCTCGTGCATGGAAGCTGTGGCAACACGAATGGCACCAGCAAGGCTTTCCAGAAGACCTCTCAGATGAACTATGCCATGAGGTGCTGGAGGCCATTTCTGCCACTACGAGGCAATGGTGTGCAGATGACACGCAAGATCTCTCATGGAGATGGTGCAAGACTGTGGAGATCTACAACACTGACCCGGTTCGACATGCGCAAGCCATTTGGGCTTTTGCCCTTTGGGGACGAACCAGGCTTTATGATCTGCTTGACGAGATCGAGGAGGTCGACCAGAAGATATCCAGTGAGACACAGTATTTGGACCTGCTCTACGAGCTTCCTGTTGCCAAGTTAGTCGATCGATTAGAGCAACTTCATAGAGCTGCTCCACCTGCTGCTCCGCTACCAGAAATCCCGACTTCGACCCGTGATCAACGAGCACATTTGCCGCTGGAATCAACTCGCAACGCGTATGACCACAGTCATGCTCTTCTAGGCCAGGTTGTTGACCCTGAGGTTTTACATTGGCCCAAGCAGCAAGGTGTACCAGTATGCGAGTTGCCAGATGGGCGAAAAGCGCTGCTCATTTTCCACTTATTTTCTGGTCGTCGTCGTGAAGGTGACTGCCACTATTGGGCGAAGCGTTTGATTGAGCAGTACTTCCCTAACTTCGAGGTCATTATGCTTTCTTTAGACACGGCAGTGGGTGGAACACACTGTGATCTATTGAATGGCCCTGGGCTGGAGTCGCTACACCGCATCGCGCAGGCAGGTGTCGTAGCAGGCAATCTCGCAGGCCCACCCTGTGAAACCTGGAGTGCTGCTCGCCATCTTCAGCCTCCTCCAGACTCCCATGAACGTTGGCCACGACCTCTTAGATCGGCGCAACGCGCTTGGGGGCTGGAGTATCTCACGCACCGAGAACTCTGCCAATTGGCGACCGGAAGTGCCTTGATGCTCTCCAACTTCAAGATTGAGATCACAGTGGTTTTGCGTGGTGGTGCCTCCCTGCTGGAACATCCAGATATCCCTGAGTGCCAGGATTATGCTAGCATCTGGCGAACCCCTGTTCAATATCGACTTTGTCATGCAGCACCGGGCCATCAGCGAATTCACATTCAGCAATGGAAGTATGGCTCCAAAGCAGTCAAACCGACTTTGATCAGGGCAATGGGGCTACCGGCTTCTGCTGCGGTTCTTCATGGACAAGCCTTGCAGGGTCTCGCGAAGCCTGAGAAGCATCTGAGCGGCCGAGATGTAGAGACAGGTCAATTTCGCACGGCATGCGCGAAAGAATACCCGGAAGGGTTGTGTAGGGCGCTGGTCACAACTCTTTTCCAAGGACTAGCCAAGCGGCGACGAGCCGAAGGCATCGTCGTGCGGCCAATGTCCCAGCTCGGAGAGCGGGACATCCAGTGGCTCACTTTGGTGGAACATCTGTCCAACACCAATTTTGTCAGCGAGTTTTTACCCGACTACCAACCACAACGGTGAGTCGGCTGCCAGCACAGTGCATGACAGCACGGGCGAACAGACCCATCAGCTGCAGAATGAAAAAAACATTACTATCTTAACGTTATATTTTAACATAGTTTAACCTTATTTTTAAAAACATTGTGTGTTAACAAGGTTTTGGCCCCGTCCCCTATTCGTGCCCAGGGGTAGGGTATTCGTTCTCCGTTGGCCATAACCTTAGCGGGGGAACGTGCTGTCCCCGCGGGTCCTGTGTGCTACGGACCTTTCGCGAGTCTCGGCTCGTTAATCCCGGGTTGTACTGAACTGCTGTGCGCTGGTACATTTACAGCCTTTGTGCCTAAGCTGTCGTCGACTTGCTCCGCGGCTGTGGTTGCATTGTGCTCTCCCAGGATTGTCTGGTGATCACCTCGTGCTGCACTGGATCCTCGTCTTGGACCTTACGGTGTATGTGCCAGGCAATTTTGATCTACTTGTTCTTCGTTTTGATTCTGGGTAAGGTGAACAACGACTTCCACTTCCCAGAGAAGATCCCAAAGACGTGCCCGTGCCAAAGCACGCTTACAGGCTTACAGTGGTTCCTGCACACCAAGGGCTTTCAGCGTTTGACTGTGAAACAGCTGGCAAGGATTCACACTATCCTGTCTGCACATCACAGCAAAGATCCTCTTTTTCTTCGACGTATTCAGAAAGAGATGGCGTCTTTGAAAGCTCCGCCATGGAGATGCCGCGCATGCCTCAAGACCCTGAAAGGTCAGATGCCAAGATGCGCATGGTGCGGTGGTCATTGGCAGCAGTGCTACGATCCCAACTTCGTTCCTGGGGAAGGTCAAAGACCGAAGTCGGTGCCTCGAGCTTATCAAGATTCGCAGGCTGCGGTGCCATGGAATTATCAACAACCTCAACATTCTCAAACAGATTGGGGTCAAAATGCAGGACATGGTCGAGGTCATGGATCAGGACGCAGTCCTCGACAAAGATCGAGGCGATACCGTGGTGGCAACAATGGGCAGCATCAACAGCATTCTGCACCAGTACAGCAAGCTCCACTACCAGCTCCTGCTCCCATGATGCACAAGGGCGATGGCAAAGGGCAGACCTCTATGAAAGGCTCCGGTGTGAGCCCTGTGTTAGCCCCTCCGCCACCTCCACCTATCATTGTACCTGCTCCTCAGGGTTATGGAAATGCAATTGCACCCCAAGCAGCCCAACCACAAGATGGTATATGGGGCCCGCAGATGGTAGCACAAGACACTTCATTGTATGCCCCCTCACCGGCAGCCCCTTCAGATGCCGAAGTTCGTCTGAGATCATTGCTGCGAGAATTGAAGAAGGCTCCGGAAGAGTCTCTTCCAGCTGGGCTACAGGAAGAAGTGAAAAAGAATACAGCTCGAGAAGAAGAGTTGACAACCAAAGGGTTGCACCGAGCTGTGGACAAAGTCAAGAAAGCCAAAAAGGCAGTTTCAGCCGCTACCTCTGCCAGGGTGAAATTGATGACAGACTGGAGAATTTTCCTGCAACAAAGTGTGACCACATGGCAGGAATACACCACGATGTTCCAAACGCAAGCGCAGGCGATGCAGGAGAATTTGGACAATGCCCTCGAAGCTCTGGCGGCGGCAAAGCGCAACTTCCACGAGCAATCGGCATCGTTGAAGGAGAACGACACCGAGACCATCTCCGACGACGACAAGGAGCCGCAAGATTCAGAGATGAACCTGCAGCTCGAAAACTCCAAGCGCATCCACGAAGGCCTGACGACTGTGGTGACCAGTCTTCAAGATTTGACAGAGAAGGCAGAGCTCGAAGAGCAAAAAGCCAAACGACAACGCAAGGCCCCAGATCCCACCGACGACGAGGTTGGCGATCTCTCCGGCTCTGCGCTTCCATCCATGCAGCCTTTTGGGGTGCCCGGCAACAAGTGACAAATGCGTACTGTTGCTGTGGGCCAACCCCTTCACCAGCTGATATAGCTGTGATGAACTGGCAGCACTCTATTGTTGATGAACCAGATTTCAAAGCACCATGGACTGCTTTGAACAATGCCATCCAATTGGCCTATGAGGTAGGGACCTCTGCGGCTCTGACAGCTGAAACATTTCATGTTGGCAAAACGCACAGACGTCAACGCCATGTTCAGTTTGCAGATGATGTTCATCTTGTCATTGACCATGAGGACACGCACAGTAGGTTCTCTGTGTCTCTGCCGGAAGATTCCCTCTTTGGTTGGCACACCAAACCTTGGGCATTAGAGCCTCACACCCTCGCATATCAGAAATCATCCCTGGACTTTCATGATGATCCACGTTCTACGGTAGTGTTGATCTCGAAAGCCTGTGGCATTGATATAGATTCTGTTTCATTTATGCAATTGAACGTCCCGCAGATGGCGTGTCGTCGTGAACCTGATGACCATGCTAGGTTGACGTTCCACGACACTCCTTTGGATGCTCTGCTTGTTAACGTTCCGATTCATCAAGCACAAAATCATGCAGGGATTGGTGATGCTCCAGAGGTGCATGTTCCTGACGACCACTCTTCTGTGAGCTCCTCATCCCACATCTCACAACGAGTCTGCATTTATCATTTGGATGATCCCCCAGTTTTTGGGCGCATTGACTGGTCCGACTACCATTTGATGATGCATGAAGCTGCACTACTCCTGCATATCAACAATGATGACTTACTAAGCCTCATTGATATTGCCTCCCCTTTGTCTGACCTCCCAAATGATGTTGTTCCTCTGATTGCACATATTGCCGGTGACCTCGACCCAGGTGAACCACGTGTTTTAGCGCTTGCAGATCTAGAGATTCATGCCAATGCACACGAAGCTCATTATCACACTGCACCGGTAGTTGATCGAGCCGTGTATGCATTCCCTCAGATTGCAGATAGACGTAGCGTTTTTCAGACTGTTGATGTTGCCACTTATTGTCAGTTGGAAGGGCAGCGTTGCCTTCTGTATCGCAATCGTCAAGCAGTTGTCACTCTTGGCAACCCTCGGTTCCCAGTTCGACCAGGTGATTATGTCAAGGTCGTGATTCCCCCACCTGAAACATGTGGTTGGTCCACTCAACGACTGCTGCAATTTTACCGACATAGTGATGATGCACAACACTCCTCTGTTGCCTCTTCACACTCAGGTTATTCCCCAAGCCTTGTACCCTCTGATGAATTGAGGCATCAGCTTGGTTTCTCTTCCCCTGACGATTTGTCATTGATGCAGACAGCTGTTGTGGCATCTCATAATTCTTGCGCTCGGAAACATGCACGGCCATCTCAGACCGAAGATTTCTGCCGTGATAGTCGCAATGGAACTGACATGCAGGTTGTACACTACGCATCGTCTCCGCATTTGCAGTTAGTTCACCGACAGCATATTGATCAGATGAGTTTCACAGAGGCATTTCTTCGTGCGGTCAGAGTTTTGCAGGAAACAGCTGATGCCATTCAAGATCAAAATGTTGCTGCGCCGGACATTGATACATATGCACCGTGGGTGCAAGATGTTCATGAACTTTGGACGAGATTGGCCGTCCTGGGGCCAGGTGGTGCAGAGATTTTGGGTCGCTTGGAGACGTGGTACACTGATCATGATTCATTTCAACGCTGTTATAATTCCCGTATAGCAGTTTTTGCAGATGATTACGAAAATTGGGAGGCACAGCTCAAGCTCCTCTGGAGGGATCGAATCAGATCTGACGAACCTATTGAGTGTTTTTTGATCTATCCACCCCCAGATGATCGTGCTGAGCAGACTATTGGTCAGATGATGATAGTTCAAAGAGCAGCTGCCTTTCAACGCTCAGTTCTTATCTCTGTTTATGACAGTGACTATGACCAAGGAAGAGCGCATTCTCATGCTTTGGTTATGGGCGACCGCATTGATCTTCAGTCAGTAACCACAATGATCCAAGCTGGTGAAGACTGTCCACCAGATCGCCCAGCCAACGTTTGGTCCTTGTGGTTTGGCACACGGCAGTTTCATCCTCATGAAAGAGCATTTGCACGGCACGGCCATGCATTTCGTTTTTTGATTCATCGACGCCCTTTGGATGCTCCTGCCGATCCTCTTGCTAGCGATAGTGATGATTTACGACAACGGTTGAGAGCTATGATTGGTGACGCACCTCCTAGTCCTCGTATTGAGTACATGATTTCTGCTCCCAGTTGGCTTCAAACACTTCAACGCACTTTTGACTCTTTCGCCACTACGGAACGTGAAGATGAAGGTCCAGTCGCATACGTCGCAGCATGGTATGTGAACTGCCATCGACAGCCACGGTGCCAACCTCATCGCACTGTGCGCCTGAGATCTGACATCTCTGCATGGCAACGCACACTCATGGAAGCATGGCGCGATCGTCTGGATATGCGACTTCGTACAGAGCTGTATTGGGTTGACCCCACACCACAAAACCCGCCAACGCAGAATTTGATTGGCCATGTGCTCATAGTACAAGAACCACGCAGAGATCACGTGGTTGTTCTTCTGTCAGGAGTTGCTCACCTTGGTTATCAGGATGATATTCATTACTCAGCGGTATGCATCCATGAGCGCCAAACAGCTCCTTCCATTGTTGACATCCTTCCTGTACCATCACACTTGCGCAGCTTCAACTTTCATGTCGGCATAGGGCCTCGAGAATTTCTTCGCGATGCCTCCTATCGCCTTGAGAATGGTGACAACATTGTGATCGACATTGATGTTGAGGTCCCTGTCCGCGAGGACTTACATCCTCGTTCAGAGACAGACGAGACCAACTTGCTACAACGCCGCCCGCTGCATCGGAAGTTGCCCATTGTAGATTCAAGTGGTGTACCTGATCAACCAGTCATGCAGAATGGTGAAGTGATACAGCTTGCCAATTTACTCCCTTCTCCTGTATGGACAGTCATTAACTGTCAAAGCATTGCAGATTTGAGGCAAAGGCTCACAACTTTTCCAGCTCCGCAAGTTTGCTTTGACCTACAGACGACGAAATGTACCCAAGTGACGGCCGATGCTCTGCAGGCAACACCCTTCTGGACCTTTGAGTATCCGCTCGCCTTTGAATTCTACACTGATGGTGCCTTCAACAGTGCACGTAGTTTGGCAGCTGCAGGAGTAGTTCTGATAGTTCAAACTCAACATGGAAACCGTTTTGGTGGCTATTTGACGTCATGGTGCGCAACAACTGCCTCCGCCCCTCGAGCAGAAGCATCGGCTGTGATCTTAGCCGTTCACTGGGCATGCTACCTTGTTGTGGCCCTGTGTTTTTCGTCCACGCCGATGTCCTTGATGTATGACAACGTTTATGCTGGACAAGCTGCTCAGGGACGTTGCGCTTCCACTCTCAATAGTGATTTGACCATTGTTGCCCGTGCTCTGACTCTCTGGCTAGAGCAACTTTCGTTTTGCCATGTCAGCTGGGCTCATGTGAAGGGGCATTCTGATCATCCCTGGAACGACTTAGCAGACACAGTTGCGTCAAGCGCTCTGATTTCAGGCCACGTCACCACAGACCTTGCTGAGCTTCTCCAATGTTGTTTGCATGAAGGGCCCGACCAATGTGCACTTTCATGGCTATGGCTCTATGAAAAGTCAGCTCGAGGGGATGGTGATGCGCCAGTCTTGCACAACCATCAGTGGAGGTTCAATGCGGCTGCCCCTCTTGAGCACATGCCTGATTTCCAAGCCCAACCATTTGAACGAAGACGTGTCAAACATCAAGGCGCACACCTGCAAGCCGAGCAGATCTGTCTACGCTTTGCCACAGCTAATGTTCTTACCTTGTATCCTCAACAAGATCATGGTGGATCCTTTCTTGGGGCACGAGCCGAACAGTTGGCCATGCAGTTTTTGTCGGCCGGAATACATTGCATCGGTCTTCAGGAAACGAGGTGTGGCCATTCTGGTCATCAGTCCTTTGAGTCATTCCACGTCCTTTCCTCCAGTGCCACTGCTCGAGGACATGGAGGTGTCCAATTTTGGATTGCGAACAAGATCACCATGACCAACAGGGTCTTGAATGTGTCCCATGAACATTTGCGTATCGTGTATGGTGATGATAGGCGCCTTATTGTCCATTTGCGACATCCCCAGCTTTCGCTCCTTTTTCTTGTTCTTCATGCTCCATGTAGTGATGATGAAATGGAACTCCAACGTTGGTGGGCCCAGACGAGCAATTTGATTCCCAATGGCTACACCTCGTGGACCTGGGTTGTGCTATGTGACTCCAATGGCCGCTTAGGCTCTGTAGTTTCCAACTCAGTGGGAGCTTTTGGCGCTGAAGCTGAGAGTATGAGAGGTGCTGTCTTTCACGAATGGCTCATTCAACATGGCTTATATGTTCCTCAGACATTTGAAGATGCTCACACTGGATCCCATGCTACATGGACACACGCGGAAGGCGCTCAAGGACGCATCGATTACATTGCCCTCTCTGACAATCTGCGCTCGGATGGCGTGTGCACGTGGGTGGCAGATGACATCGACCTTTCGCTTGCCAGACCAGACCATTCATGTGTTTGTGCTGACGTGGATGATGACAGCTCGATCCCCTGTTTCGGATCAATGTGATGCACCTGCGGCTCATCAGCATCAACCCATCACATGGAACAGTGACGTTCACACTCATGCGTCTTACCTCCAAGCAGATTTGAAGCAATACTTTGGTCGCAATCCCAGACGACACATGCGCAAGAAGCACCTTACTGATGAGACTTGTGCTCTGATTCAACGGAAAAAGAGCATGTTTCGTCATCTGCAACGTGCCAAAGCAGCCGCCAGAACTGTTCGCTTGCAATTGTGTTTTAGTTGTTGGAAAAAGCGTGACTCGAAGCCAACCAATTTGCCAGTTAGCACCTTTCGTGCTGACTTTGAGCTTGCAGTTTCGGCAGAGAAGTATCGCATAGCCTCTTTACGTGTGTGTCACGCAGTGCGCGCAGACGATCGACGGTTCTTCGATGACCTTGCTGAACAAACTGGCAGTGTAGCTTCCCAAGGTTTTCACCGCATTTGGGACGCCATTAAACCTCTGCTTCCCCGTGCCAAAAACAAGCGCAAAAGCAACATCCGTTGCCCTGGCCCATCAGTTGAACAGCAGGCCACACATTTTTGTCATCTAGAGGCAGGTTGTGAGACTGATTATGCACGCTTGCTAGCTCAGTGCCACGCTTACCAGCAACAACAACTTGTAGAACAACCTCTTGAGTTATCGCTCCAGCAAATGCCCTCTCGTCTCGACGTTGAGAACACTTTGCAGCGCCTGTCGGCACACAAAGCACCAGGTATAGACGGTATATCCCCTGGTTGCCTGCGTACAGCTGGGCCAGATATCTCAGAGTCATTGTTGCAGCTGATCATGAAAATGTGGCTCTTAGGAGCCGAGCCAATTCAATTTAAGGGCGGATTGCTCTGCCCTATCGCAAAAAAATCACAGAGTAGAGAGGTGGCCAACATGCGCGGCATCATGATCATTGATGTTGTGGGCAAACTGGCCCACTCTCTTTTGAGACAACGTTTTCTTTCCACCCTTTTGAGTTGGAAAATGCCTCTTCAGTTAGGTGGCTTCCCAGGCTGCTCAACACTGTTCGCCACTCATTATCTTAGATCCTTTCATGCAAAAGCACGCGACTGTCAGCTTCCCTCTGCAGTCCTTTTCTTGGACGTGAAAAGTGCATTTCATAGCATGATTCGACAGATTTTGTTTGGCTCTTGTCATGAATTGCCGGTGCATCTTCAGAAACTTCTTGAAGAGATAGGATGCAACCTTGAGCAGCTGCGCACTGAAATTGAACGGACTTCAGCACAGTTTCATCATGACGTTCCCTTGGCTGACCGTCGGCTCCTCCAGGATGCGCATGTGTTTACGTGGTTTGGCTTGTCGGGCACTGATGCCACTTTTTGCACTTCGCGTGGAAGCCGGCCTGGCAGTCCACTTGCAGACATTGCATTTAATGCAGTTATGGTACATGTACTTCGTGATTTGCATTCAAGGTTGCAAGAGATGCCTGCCATGCAGTGTGGATTCACAGCGCTCGGTCTGTGGGCACCACCCATTGCTTGGGTGGATGACGTTGCGATACCCATAGTGGCTCCTCATTGTGACACTTTGGAAACCTCTGTAGCTCAAGTTGCCCACACCACCCATGAAGTTTTCTTAACTTATGGACTGGAACTCAATTTCAAAGCCAAGAAAACAGAAGTCGTCCTTTCATTTCGATCTGCTGCGGCACCTGCCCATCGCCAATCACTGTTTGTTGAACGCCTTGGACAATTGGCCGTACCCAATCTCAGCATGCATTTGCGATGTGTTGCGTCTTATGAGCACTTAGGCACTGTCTTTGCTGCAGATTGTACACTTCAAAAGGAGATTTCCCATCGCAAACGCCGGGCCATTCAAGCTTTTCGTCAGGTTGGTAAGCCCATCCTGAAGAATCGACATGTTAGCATTGGCACCAGATTGAAGCTTTTTGAAAGTCTCATTATACCGGTACTTTTGCACGGCTCAGGAAATTGGGATTTGTTGCCACATCGATCCTTTCAAGGGTTACATTCCTGTATCATGGGTTGGCAACGAATGATTATCAATGATGGATGTTGGACGGAGGACCAACACACCGACTTTGCCCTTCAATGTGCCTGGAAATTACCACCTCTGGCCCTGCGATTGGTGAAAGCCAGGCTCCTCTACGCCTTTCAGTGTGCAGCCAATGGCCCCCAACTCCTTCATGATTTTATGACCTCAGTTGCTCATCTCCCGCAGGGATGGTTCGCAGCACTGCGACAAGCGCTTACATGGCTTGCTTCTATGGATTCAAATTTTTGTCCCGCTGATCTTGCCACTGCTTCCGTTGAACAGGTTTGGACGTGGTTGGGGGCCCATTGTTCCACCGGCCCTTCTTTTGTTCGACGTTTGTTCAAACGATGCGTGTTGCAATTTCATGTGGTAGGCGACATAGTTGCCTTGCATAAGCAATTGAAAGAGGCTTTGCAACATGGAGGTGTTGCATTTGAGACATCCCCTACACTTTCGCAGATCCCAACTGATACGGTGTTTTCATGCGATTGGTGTGAGGCACAGTTTGACACGAAACAAAAACTTCTGGCACACATGTGGACAGCCCATCAACTCGTTTCTGAAGAACGGCAGTTTGTCTTCTCAGATACGTGTTTGGCGTGCCACAAATGTTTTTGGTCAGCTGCTCGGCTACAGCAACATTTACGACCCTCACGCAGTACACCAGATGGTTGTTTTGCACAACTGACTTGGCGTTATGCTCCTCTTCGTGAAGCTTGTCACATTGAGGTTCCCATTGATTTGCGAGGGTTCTTGCGCCTTCCAGCACAGACAGTTCCTATGCCACAGCTTGCACCTGTTGATCTGCAGCTTTTGACCCGTGAACATGCAGAGGCAGCTTTGCAAAGGGCATGGACCGAAGAAGGATTTCCTCATGACCTTCCAGACGATGTGAAATACTCTGTCTGGGCACGTGCAGATGCCGTCCTCCGCTCTTGGAAGCCAGATGGGAGTTTGAATGTTGATCAGTTGATATTTGATTTAACATCAATGGCTCTGAATGCAGCGGATGAATGGGCTTTATTCTTGTGGTGTCGCCTGTCCCTCTGTTATCGACGGTTTTTGCATTTAACCCCAACGGTTTTTCAGAGGGTGAAGAAGGAGATTCAGGAGATCGTTTTTGAATCCCCCATTGGCAAGCTCTTGGCTTGGCATTTGCGTATTACTACTGCGTATCAACCACGAGATGATGCAGCAGCCGATACATCCGCATTTCAGCCGCGTAGCCTAGAGCCTCTTTTACACCCAGTTCAGAATCAACATGCTTCTTTGCAGCATATTCTAAGCCCTATCACGCACGTGCCAGATCCCCTTCCTGTGCCAATCACCTGGGAGGACGGGAAACCAATCATTTGGGTGTTGCACCTCTTTAGTGGACGGAGACGCCGAGGCGATTGTCACTTTTGGAGTGAATGCTGCACAGGGGTTTTGCCGGGATATACAGTTCGCATCCTTTCGGTTGACACAGCAATTGATGCGGACCTGGGCAATCTGGATCGAGGGCCTGTGTTTGCAAGGTTGCTTGCCATCATCCGCAAGCGATGGTTTGCAGCAGGCCTTACAGGCCCGCCCTGTGAAACGTTCAGCGCAGCTAGACATCTTGAACTGGAAGGTTGTCGCCATCCGCGTCCTTTACGGTCGGCTATGTGTCCATGGCTGCTTGAGGGTCGATCCAATCGTGAGCTTTTTCAAACATTGATAGGCTCACGATTATTTATGCACTCCATCATTGCCGAGGTCTCTCTTGTGCTGGCAGGTGCTTGCTCCTTGATGGAGCATCCCGCCGAACACCAGGATGAAGAACGAGCATCTGTATGGCGCACACAGTGCCATCGTGAGTGGGTCATGAAGCTCCCCGACGCCTGGCAGCATCGGATAGAACAATGGCATTATGGAGCGGTAGGCGTTAAGCCTACAACGCTCCGTGCGCTGAATATGGGTCCACCTCATATCGTGCATCAGGTGCTGCAAACCAATCGCGATCCGCTGGCGCTTCGTCCTTGCAATCCTCTTCGTGGACGCACTGACGACGGCTCTTTCCGAACGGCTGCGGCCAAAGAGTACCCAGTTGGATTGTGTAGGACGCTAGTGCTTGCCACCTTGGAAAGTCTTAAATACAAGATCTCCCAATTTGGCACTTGCACAGCTGCCGACCTCTCTGCTTCTGAGAGTGTTTGGCTGAATTCATTGTACATGAAAGCATGCAATGCCAGTCTTTCAGGGAAATTTCTCCCGGATTTTCAAGGCTGAGCAATTCGATGCAACGTCGCACGAGCTAGACTCAGAAGCGAGTGAATGGAAAAAATGTGTGTTAACATTGTGTTAACATTGTGCTGAATCGGCGAAGTGTCCGTAACTTCGGCTCTTTCTTCGGAATTTAGAAGTGTTCGTAACAGCCAGTAACAGCACACAGGTAAAACTGTTTTAGTAAAACTCTTTTAGATTTAGTAACTAGAAGTTGTTTTTGAAACCAAACGAACAGGATTTTGTTAGTAATTTTGCTTTAAGTTCAACTTCTCTTTGATGACTTCTGTAACTTAAACTTAGTCAACGGTTACTTCTAGTCGAATGTCTAATGTCTAATGTCTTATAGTTGGCTTCACTTGACTGTCTTGAAAAGTCCATGGCCTGCATTGCGAGGTGGAGCGCATCAAAGAATGGCTCGAGAAGAAGAAACGCGAGGACGAACTCGTGAACCTCTTGACCGGTGAAGGTCCTGAGCTCCCCAAACCCACCTCCGAAGCAGCGCCTTGACGACTTGACGACTTGACGACTTGACGACTTGACGGCTTGACGGACGAGCGGAGCTGAAGAGAGAGCGAGTGTATACACAGTTTATGCACAGTTTATGCAGACTTTCAAAAAAGGAGAAACCTCGATGCACACTCTTAAGACCTTCTAAATCAACCATGCACAATGTTTCTACTTTTGGAGTGCAATATTTTATAATATGTTGACTTTTGATTTCCATTCATTTTTCATTGATTATTCTTTTTATTGCAACCTATTGCATATTTGTATTGGTATGCAGTGACACCTGCTGAGTTATTGCAGCCCATAGCTTCACATAGCTTCACATAGCTGTCCCGTCTCTCCAGTGTTGGAATCGTGGAAACCTTTGCCAAGGATAGCGTGGACCCTGAGTACTTGCGCAAACTCAAGCGATCATCAGCATCGAGACCCGCTTTGGTGAGTCAAGGACCTTCAAGCTGAGCAGCTCACAGCATACCTTCGTACAGCTTTCGTACAGTTTCCCCTTTCGTATAGTTTTCATATGGCTTTGTCTTTTATCGATTTATCGAAGGAAGTTTGGAAGCCAAACTTCCGAATTATGGACAGATGCAGCAACAGTTGCGGGAAGAGTCACAGAAGAGAGAGCAAGAAGAAAGAAGATCAAAGTGCGCGCAAAAGTAGAAAAGTCGCAAAACACAGTGTGTGTTTTCCAATGTTTTGTGGCTCCGGAAGGACAAAAAGTAGGCTTGCCAAAGCGGCAGGCGTGGAGATTCCTGAAAAGCGTGAAAAGGCATGAGCCGAAAAGTTTAAGTCCTGAAAAAGGATATTTGAAGAAATAAGACATAAAAATTGAAAGTAAGTCCTGAAAAGTCCAGGACGTTTGAACGAAACGCCTGCTAAGACATAATGAAAAGGATGCATTTGAAAAATAAGAAACACATAATTCGATTTATAGAAAACTAAGCCCTGCAAAGTCCAGGTCCTAAACTTGAAATGCCTGCAAGGACTGTAAAAACATCAAATGCATTTTAAGTACAAATATGTGGATGGTCATCTCCCCTCTCCAACCGCTCACAACTGCTCTCCAAACTCCGGCTGTTTGACAGCCTTGTCACATCCAGCCGCTGGTCTCTAGGCATCCCCGCGCCCCTTCAACACCTCCGGCAGAGTGTCCACCATGTCACTCTCATGTGGACCTTGCGCGCCCGGTTCCAGTTTAGCATGTTTAGCTGGCACCGGGTTGATTGCCTTCATTTGCCTCCAAGTTATCCGGCATTGGCGGCGTGTCAAACTGTGGGTTCGGGTCTGCACCCTTTGGGACGTTCTCCTTCTCCAAAGCATATGGCAATGGGTTGGGCATGTCTTGCGAAAGCCTTACAATTGTCATCAATTGTCCTATCCGTAACACATTGCTGGATCTACGTCATGGGGAAGTCCTTCATCGCGGCCTTCGGCGACAACGGCCCCAACAATTCAGGGCACCGCGCTCTTCTCCGTTGGCTCCGTGCCCGTGGCGTTGGTGTTGATGTCGCCTATGATCGAGCTCGCTGGCTTACATTGCAAGATGACTGGCTCGCTTCCCATTCTGTGCAAGCCATGCCTCGCGGCTATGAACGTTCACAAAGTCTTTGCTGATCACGGTCTCCCGGAATATCGTGCCATTCAAGGAGCTTTCACTGGCCAGCAGCTATTGGCGGGTTTGTGGGGTTCTGCTTCCTCTGGCTGGCTTCTTGCTGAATTGGACAGAAGCGATGACGGACTCTTCTTGTCCCCGGCGATTGCTGCGCGGATTCTTTCGTCTTTGCGATTGAACAAGCCTACCGAACTTGGGAGCGCCTTAGCACCTTTCATGTTCGACTCACCCTGCTTCATGACATGGCTCCAGAAACCAGTTTGTACAATGAGACCTACCGAGTCTTGCCACTACATTGCAATGGGCTGCTGACAAACATCTTATTCTGGAAATTTCTCCTTGTCCTTTTGAATCAAAGCTGCTATCATATCTGCTGCTTGGGTAGTTGCCACCGGTAGTGTTTCACGTGAATTTGGCAGTGCAAATAAACCTGCCTGCGCCTCGCCCCACAGTTAGGCCCAGGCAGACTTGATCTGAAGGCGATGCAGAGAGAGAAAGAGAGAGAGAGAGAGAGAGAGAAAGAGATGTGGAAATTAGAATCTAAAATTGTCTGAACCCACCTGAACTTCTCTGAAACCTCCTAAGTTTAAATTTAATTTGAACTATATTTGAAAGTTGACAGTAAAAAGGGCGCTAGTTCAAATCAACTGAGAAGTTCACTTCCTGAAAAGGAAGCTGCTGGAAATGGTGAGCCTGAAAAGGCATGAACTGATAATTTCAGATCCTGAAAGGGATATGCCTGAAAAAGGCATGAAATCAAAAGTTCGCTTCCCGATGATATTTATCCAAAAAGGTAACAAGTGAAAACATGATCCACAAGGCAAAAAACAAAATCGTAGAAAGTACGAAACGGCAGATTAGGCGTATCATATTTCTTTTTAAAGGTGTGGATGTGGATGAATTATTATGTTTCCTATGTTTTCCAGATGTTTGTCCTGTCAGGGGCGCAAAAAAAACAAACGTCTCTGAACTATATGTATGTAAGCTATATCTGAAACATGTCTGATCTATATCTGATTTTTATCTGAACTATATTTGAAATATATATCAACTATATATCTGAACTATATGTATGAACTCTATGTCTGAGCTCTCTAGTTCAGATATCTGCGCGGTATCGGAACTATGTCTGAGCTCATCTGAACTTATCCAGGTTTATTTCTCCAACTTATTTGAACTTTTTCAAGTTAGATTTCAACTGAACTTTTCTGAATTTACCTGACCTTTTCCAGGTGCAAATCTGAGTCCAAATCTCGTCTGATTTTTTCTAAACTTGTCTGAACTCTTCCAGGTCTAGATTCAGAGTCAAATTTAAAACTTCCAGATGTTTTTTTCTGAATTTGCCTGAGCCAGGTTTAGATTTGAATTCAAATTTGACCTTCAGTTAACTTTTCTACGCTTTACGGTAATGGCCCACTTGGTTTCGGATTGGCTCTTTCGTTTAAGCCTGCCTTTTTGATTTGCAAGAATGTTCAGAAGTATTTCGGTTTGAATTCAGATTTGCGCCTGGAAAAGCTCAGATAAATTCAGAAAAAACAATGATTCCGAATAAAATTTAACCTGGAAAATTCACATTTGGATTTAAAACTAAACCTGGGTAAGTTCAGATGAGTTCAGATGTAGGTGAGATACAGGTCAGATATAGTTCAGATATATAGTTCACATACAATTCATCTATATTTCAGATATACTTCAGATATATTTAGTTCGGGTAGATAGCTCAGATATACGGTTCATATATTTGTATAGTTCCGATATTTAGTTCGGATCATTTTTTTGCAGATATATTTCAGAATAGTTCAGATGTAGTTCAGACAAAGATCAGGTATAGTTCACATATAGTTCAGATATAGCTCAGATTTACACTTCAGATATAGTTCAGATATACTCCAGATTCAGATATATTTCTAAAAACCGGGTTCCGATTTTCAGTTCAGATACTGTATAGGTCAGATATGGCTCAGCAGAAACTCACATATAATTCAGATATAGCTCAGATACAGCTCAGAGAAATCTGAATTTTTATCCAAGTCCAACGGGACAAACATCTAGAAAACATATGAAAAATAACTTATCCACATCCACTTCTTTGAAGCAACATGAAACAGAATTCATCTACATCCACATCTTTAAAAAGATATATGGTACGCCTAATCTGCCGTGTCTTACTTTCTACGATTTTGTTTCTTGGGCTGTGGATCATTTTTTCATTTGATATCTTTTTAGATAAATATCATCGGGAAGCGAACTTTTGATTTCATGCCTTTTTCAGGCATATCCCTTTCAGGATCTGAAATTATCAGTTCATGCCTTTTCAGGCTCACCATTTCCAGCAGCTTCCTTTTCAGGAAGTGAACTTCTCAGTTGATTTGAACTAGCGCCCTTTTTACTGTCAACTTTCAAATATAGTTCAAATTAAATTTAAACTTAGGAGGTTTCAGAGAAGTTCAGGTGGGTTCAGACAATTTTAGATTCTAATTTAGATTGGCTTTTTCAAAAACAAATCGCCAAAATATGAATGTTTTTTCGTGGTCCCAGCCATCCACATATTTGCACTTACCAAGATGCATACAGCATGTTTTCAAAGTCTGATTTTTTTTTTACAAATTGTCTTTGCAGGCATTTCATGTTTAGGACCTGGGCTTTTCAGGGCTTAGTTTTTCTATAAATCGAATTAAAGTAGGCGCAGATGACACGCGACTTCTGTAATTATCAGTTTTGCTATGTTTTTAAAAATTACACATGACATGGGAGTTATGCGCCGGCCTAACGGGCAGGTATTTTTCCATTTTTTTGACAGATGACATGGGAATATTTGATCAAATTTGACAAGAATCTTAGGACTTCCAGGAAAACACACACGTCCAAGATGGGAAGTGGCAGGTAATGAGATGGGAAGACGAATTTACCACAGGAGACGGGACGTCCAAGATGGGAAGTGGCAGGTAATGAGATGGGAAGATGAATTTACCACAGGAAACGGGACGTCCAAGATGGGAAGTGGCAGGTAATGAGATGGGAAGACGAATTTACCACAGGAAACGGGACGTCCAAGATGGGAAGTGGCAGGTAATGAGATGGGAAGACGAATTTACCACAGAAGACGGGACGTCCAAGATGGGAAGTGGCAGGTAATGAGATGGGAAGACGAATTTACCACAGGAGACGGGACGTCCAAAATGGGAAGTAGCAGGTAATGAGATGGGAAGACGAATTTACCACAGGAGACGGGACGTCCAAGATGGGAAGTGGCAGGTAATGAGATGGGAAGACGAATTTACCACAGAAGACGGGACGTCCAAGATGGGAAGTGGCAGGTAATGAGATGGGAAGACGAATTTACCACAGGAGACGGGACGTCCAAGATGGGAAGTGGCAGGTAATGAGATGGGAAGACGAATTTACCACAGGAGACGGGACGTCCAAGATGGGAAGTGGCAGGTAATGAGATGGGAAGACGAATTTACCACAGAAGACGGGACGTCCAAGATGGGAAGTGGCAGGTAATGAGATGGGAAGACGAATTTACCACA